ATTATAAAAACGAAAATAAAATTATTATTTAAAAAAAAAAAAAACAAAACAAAATCTACGGAAATATTTCATGATTTTAAATTCGAAAAACTAACTATAATTTACCAAAATAAGAATATAAAAATTTTCAATAATTTACCTGCGAAGGTTCCTTTAGTAAACCTTTTGGCGAACCCAAATAAACATAAACAGCACCGTCATCTTCATAGGGAGAACCTACGGCAATGTCATCTGTACCATCCTTGTTTAAATCTCCTAAACTCGTTATGGCAAAACCGAATCGCGATTCTATTTTTCCAGTCAGTTTCTGAGGTTTATCACACGAAAGGCAACGGTCTGCGTTATTATAATAAATGTACACGGAACCTCCGGATTCTTTATCGAAGTAAAAAGGAGCTCCAACAATTAAATCGGGAAGCCTACGAATAAAATACTGTTGCATTTAAAGTTTTTTTTTTTTTTTTTTTTTTTAAATAATTCAATTAAATTAAAAACAACCTGTCGCCGTTTACGTCGGCGGTAGAAATTTCATAACCAAAGCTCGAGGCGAATTGCTCTCCGTTTATAATTAGCCTTGTGGACATGATAGCGTCTTTCGAACCTTTTTTCGTTTTGCTAAAAATGATAACTTGACCTGTGCCGTTAGAACGAGGAGCACCAGCAGCATAAGACATTTCATTTTCCAAAAATTTTGCTCCCACGACAGACATTCCTGAATGGATTTTTTTAAAAAAAAAATATTATCATGGATTCTAAATTAAAATGTCCGTAAGGAAAAATATTCAATAAATCTACCTAAATAACTGTATTTGTCAACGGGTGAAGTGTTTTTTTGATGAGGCCCATAATATTGTGTTTTATCACGGTGTAAATAATTTTCAGAAAAAGACATAACAAAAACAGTTCCTCTCCAGGTATAAACTCCGGGAGTTCCAATTAATGCCGTATCATCTTCTAATAGAAATCCGGAAGTTCCGGCTTGACAATATCCGTAATCTTCGTGCGCTCTACATATATTAATACATCAACATAAGAAAACTATAAAATTTTTAATATGCAAACGAATTATAAGTTTCGATTTAAGAAATTTATTATTATTCACCTATCGACAGGTCGCCCCTTGCACGGCTCCCATGTTTCTTCGTAGTCTAAATATTGACTTAGTGTATAACATAAACCGTGCCCCCATTGAAAATCAATTCCTTTTCTTATATACCTGTGTGCGCATACCTCGAATAAAGAATAATAATAATAATAATATTTTAAATTGGGTTTTTAAACAGGTTTCAAATTCGAATCGTAATATTCCCTATTTCACGTCATTCAAATCACCGATTAATCATTTTTTCCTTTTTAAAGTTTTACTCGCCGATAATTTCATTTTTAACTCGAACTGTGGTTTATAAAGTTCCAACATTATAAAAATGTTAAATGAATCATAAAAAAAAAAAGGACGAATTACTTATCGTGATTCATAAATACATGATACAATGATTGATTACAATGTTTAATGAGAATATAATTTTTTTTTTTTTTTTTGTTTTTAACATACCAACACTTTTCCGCCAGGTTTTTGAGATTTCACCGTGACTCCCATCCATTGTCCGTCTTTTATTTCATCTTCTAACGGAGGATAAAGATCTTTCGAATCAATTACTAATGAGAAAAAAAAAAAAAATTATTGGAATTATTTACATAACATCTTATCGGGAAAATTGATATGTCAAAAAAAAGCATTATAAACACATTCATCATAAATGTAAAGCAAAAACTAAAAAAAAAAAATAAATGAAAATTATTAAATCATCTAAAAAGAAATACAAAAAAAAAAAACTAAAAGCTAAAAGCAAAGAATTTTCAATTACTCACTATAATGTGCGAAAAGCTAAAAATAAATATTTTTTTTTTTTTTTTTTACATTCTCTTTCATCATCAATACATCATTACATCATTGCAAAAACATCATTTTTTTAGCAAAAAAAAAAAAAAAAAAATTACGAATTAAGCAAAAAAAAAGGCAAAACCGTGATGATATATTCAAGCAAAAAAACAAAACAAAACAAAAAAAGACGCAAAATAAAATGTAAACAAATTTCTCATTATCAGGATGTTGTTCTTATCAGTAACTTGGAAAACTTATTTAGGTTTATCTATATAATTGCACTAATTAAGTTAAATTATTCATTTAAAAAAAAAAATAATAATAAACGTTTTACATGTATTTTATAGGGAAAAAATTTTTTTGTATTATTTCAGGTCTGATATCACGTGTGAAAAACTAATTTCCTTCGAATGAAAGAAAAAAAAAAATTAGTATTAATTAGAGGAAATATATATATTTAGCCTCATTTTTATTTTAAATGTTTTTAATAAATTTTAATTTTTTTCTCTCTCGACCGAAATAAACATTTTTTTTTTTTTTTTTTTAATATTGGATTTTAATAAATATTTCCGGGTTTTTTACGCCCAAACGAAATTTTATTTACATAACTAACTGAATAATACATAAAATTGTAAAAATCTCAAAAATTTGATGTTTTCTTTTCTTTTGATCATTTTCAAATGGCGTTGAATTTAAAATACAATAAATATTATAATTTAACACTATAAAATATAATATTTTTTCGAGTTATTCGAAGTAAAAAAAAAAAAAAAAAAACTGACTTTTATGTAATGCGAGAGTGAAAAACTTGAAAATTTATGGGGAAAAAAGGGCAATATGAAACTCCTCTTTCGAAACCATAAGTTTCATAAAATAAAAACAAACAATTCTATATACAATTATTTTGCTTTCTCAAGTATTTATTGTCTTTCAAAATTTATTTTATCCTAAATAATAATAATTAATATTATTATTTGAAATTTTGTATTAATATTGTAATTATGTGTGCAAATATTGTTTTTTCATAAAAAAGAATGTGCACGAAAACACAAACTGAAAGTGAATAGATAAAACAAGTCAAATAAAATAATCAAACCTCAGGTGTTATACTGAATATTTAGGATGAAGACTTACAAAACTGATACCTTCCAGCACCATCTGTTAAAAAAAATTAACAAATAATAGTAAAGGATTAAAAATGAAAAGTTTAAGCAAGTTTTAAGTTGATTCTCTCTTTAATTATAAACAAAAAAAAAAAAAATTAATCTATAAACTAATTTTATGAATTCATAATTTTTTTTAAATTCGGTTAAAGAAACGTAAAAGATGATTAATTAATTATAACCCATTTATTAAATATATAATAATAATTATACCATGGCATTAAAAATGGCAATTATTAATTTACACAAGAGAGAATCAACCCCAACATATTCATCAAACACAGATATCATAAATATCTTTCTTTTTTTTTTTTAATCACATTAGCAGCAGCAATGAAAATAAGTTGGAAAAAAAAAAAAAAAAAATTTTACTTAAAATATTCAATAAGTCAAATATAAACCCATATTAAATAAACCAGGAGAAATAATTTGTTTTTAAGCAATAAATCTAATATTAAATAATAAAAAAACAAAAGAATTCTTTTTAATTTCCTAATGTACTATTTAATGAACTAAAATAATTTTCTATCAAAAGAATTTTTATCTTTTTTATTTTTGAAGGGAATTGTATGAAAAAATAAAACAAACAAAAATAATGATAATTTTAAAACTTTTATAAACTAAACAAATTAAGCTAGCAAATCAAAAAAAAAAAAAAAAAAAAAGAAACTAGAGGCCAAAATAATTTTAGCACATAAACTGATCCATAGCTTTAATTTTACCTAAATACTTATTTATAAAAAAATTAACTTTCTAACCTCTTTGCCCATCAGTTATAACCTGAATGCAATCATCAGTCACTGTTGTTAATGGGCATTTCCATAAAGCTCCACTATGATTCGTTCCAGGCTGTAAATTTTTACCAAGAGGAGCTCCGACTAAAAGCCTGAAAATATTTAAATATTGTTTTAAATATCTAAGGTTTAATTTGATTAAACAGTTAATGAGCTGAAATTAAATTTTACTATACTATGCTACCAAAAGTATACATTTATACATCATATATACTGCGACTAAATATTATTTTTCACGCCTTTTATAAAAGAAATTTCTACACCCGTTGAAAAAAATTAAATTTATAAAGTATAAATGTGAAAAAATTGTGTAGAAAAATTAAATAACGAATACGATTCATTGACAATTTTTAAAAAATACATTCCACTTAACCATTATATTTCAAAACTTTATGAAAAAGTAAACAAAATATGAGGGAAAAGATTATCATTTACACAGTTTCGTAAATGAAAGTAATAATTATTTATAATTTTAAAAAAAATTTCAAGTGTAAAATTTGAATCAGTGAATAAATAAAATAAATATAAAGTTTAACAAAAAAAAAAAAAAAATGTAATGCTCACCAAGTATTAGTAATATTTTTTGTAACATCGTCAATACTTTGATGCTGAGCAACTGAAAATCCAAAATAAGAATTAACTTGTCCTCTTTTTATAACTGGAATACTTGTATCTAAATTAAAACTACACCCAAGATAAAAATTTAAAGGCACTATTAAAAAAGGCACGGGGTATTTCATTGTTAAAAGTCATTTATAATAACTCAATACAATAATTCTAATTCGCGTGCATCATTACTCATTATTGTCGTGTAAATAGAACTCCTCCCACAAACGAATGTTAGCATTTTGTAGGAAGCAAGAAAAGTACTAAGTATATTGTTTTATTTTAAATACATTATATATATTTTAAACACAAGATTTATGGATGTGGATGTTCATGATGAAGCCAGCCTTAAAAATAAAGATGATGACCGACTTAGTTTTTCATTATCGGAAGAAGAAGCTGACGATACGACAGATTCATTAGATATTAAACCACCTCAAGCTATTTCACATAGGAAACCAAGGCATAAAAAAGATAAATTTTCATATAGAGATTCCAAAAGATCGCATGTAATTCTATTTAATATTTGTTAATATTATGTTTACCTAAGTATTTGATATGATTACTCTGCATATAACATTATTATAAACTTTTGTTACTTTGGTTTAATGGTTATGATGTGAAATGTTAATTTTTCAGAGTCACAAAGAAATATCTCATCGTAAATCTCATCATCTTAGTAGTAGTGAAAAAAAAAAACAACATAAAAGTAGCGATAGAGGATATAGAGATAGAGAAAGCTTGCATTCTAAAGAAAAAGATTATAGAGAGAAACGACTTAGTCATAGAGAAAGAAGGTCTCAAAGGGAAAGAAGTGATCATGAATACCTCAGGGAATCTAGATTGACAAAAGAACAATTTTACAGAGTTGAAAATAAATCTCAAGATAAAATAAATACAGAAAAAATTTCAATTAGGGAATTATCAATTGAGGATCCGTTAAGGGGTCTGTACATTCTGTCAAGATTTAATTTTTTTCTTATTAGTAAACTAAACTTTAACAAAATTTTAAATCTTTTGTTTTATATATATATCTAAAAAACATAAAATGAGATTAAATCATTTCTAACTTTTTTATATAATGAATTTAGTTTTTATTTACGATCAAATTTTAATTTTTATAATGAATCATATTTTTCAGCTGACCAAATATTACAAGATTTACGTGGCAAACTTTTAGTTAAAAGAAACATAAGGGAGGGAAAAGCATTTAGTTCAGATAAATATGATGAACCTGAAAAAAAAGTGGCAAGAAAAGAGAGAGAAGATGGTAGTCCGTTTAATGAAACAGCTAAAGAAAAAGCTGAAAGGTTGGAGAAAGAGGGAAGAAAAGCTAAATTATTAGAAGCAGGTTTGCAAAATAATTTTATCCTAACTTTTTTTAGTTATTAATAAAAATAAATTAACAATGGTTTAAATTATTTTTTCAGAAAGGGAAATGGCTAAAAGAAAAGAGGTTTCTAGAAGAGAATTAGAAGCTAGAAGAGAGAGGCAAAATATTGAAAAAGAAAAGGATAGAATGTTAAAAGAAATTGTAAAAAAGCACCAATTAGATCAAAGAAAAGATAAAATTATCCATGATATTGTTGTTGTTTCTGATAATAGTGAATCTGAAGAATCCTATGCTTCAACAAATTCAACAACTTCAATGAGGGAAAATGATGAATATGAAGAATTTGAAGACGATGAAGATGTTGAAGAAGAAGAAGACAATGATGAAGAAGTAGAAGGTATTAAGCATTTCTTTAGTAATTTATTTTTATTTTATTTGGGTAACTTCAAATGGTTACAAAAGAAGTAAAATTTCTAGTAGTTTCTTAACTCCTGATTATATTCGTTCTTTACGAAAATGTGTATTTAATGGTTAATTAAGCATAAATTTTTTCATTATTGATAAAATTTTTTTTTTTTTTTTGAAACAAAAAGCATTAGTACTCAATAATTGATTGTTAATTAGTAAAGTGTTTTAAATAATGAATGTTTTTTTAAAATGTAAATAAGTTTAATTATTTCATGTTAAGGTAGTGAAAATGAAGAATCTGATGAAGAAGATTTAGATAGAAGTTTAGAATCTGCGCCACCATTGGAAAAGTCACCTTTACAAAGTGATATTGAAATGGAAGAAGACAAGAAAAGTGAAAATAGTGATACTGGAAAAAATATATCTGCAGAAGATAGTGAAAAAGCAAATAATGCTGAAAAAAAATCTAATTATGACTCACCGAAAAAAGACAGTCCAGATGAAAGTGAAGAAGTATTGCCGCCATATTTACCAGCTATTCAAGGTTTGATATAAAATAACTTGTAGTATTTATTTTTTGAAGCACTTTTAGTAGTAGCAAACTGTATTTTAACCTTTTTTTACTTCTTTCCTTACATTTTGCCTCTTTTGAAATTTTCTTTTACTGAAACAATTATGTATAAGTGAATTTTATTATAATGTTTTTTAAATTCATTAGTAATGCAAAATCATATAAAACATTTATCTTATTGATAATTTTACATTTATTTAAAAATTAACATTACCTGTGAATAATTGTTTAAAGTATTTAGCATTTATTTCCACTAAATAAAAAGAAAGTACTTTGGCGCCAATTTTACAATTCATCATAAAAGTAAATTTTATATAAATAATTTTAATATTAGATAACTCAAAATAAGCATGAAAATTTGTTTTTAAAAGTTTTAAAACGTTTTTTTTTTTAGTTAATTAATTTAAATTATTGTATTAGGTTCCTATTAGAATATAATTTTTTACAGGTTGCCGATCAGTCGAAGAATTTCAATGCCTAAATAGAATAGAAGAAGGAACCTATGGAGTCGTGTATCGCGCCAAAGATAAAAGAACTGGTGATATAGTCGCTTTGAAAAGATTAAAAATGGAAAAGGAAAAGGAAGGATTTCCGATTACATCTCTTAGAGAAATTAATACA